TTCATTTGCTGCTTTTCTTTTTCTTTTTTCACTGATTTTTCTTTTTTTACTATAAGACTTAAATAATTTTAAACATATATATTTAGTTTGTTATAACTCTATTTTTTTTTTTTTTAAATATTAAAATGACTATTCAGAGGTCTGGCATAGTTTATTAAATTTTGAATTGAATACCAATATAGTTATAGGAATATATCTAACATTGCTATATTAATAAGAATATAATTAACTATATATACTACTTTAGTTATTGCTTATTTAAAAGCTTTGCTATATCTATTTCTATTTATAGTTATCTACTAATTATCATATTTAGGATTTGCTTATAGATCTTTTATTTAAACTATTTGATCAATTTTATATTATTAAACATTTTTTTCAAAGAGGAATTTGCTACTAAAGACTTTTAAAACTTTAAAGTAGTTATATATATTCATATAGAGAGACTTTTTGATCTTGTAATAAATTTGTTAGAACTTTTTATATCTACATTCTAGCTAGTCAAAACTTTCAGTAACTTTTGCTAAGTCTGAAAACAAGCACTTGTAAGTTGAAGCCACTACTATTATCTACTAATATCTTTGTAGAGTTTATTTAAATCTTGGCATCTCTCCTTTAAGACAACTTAGTATCTTTCTTTTCAATACTTCTTAGTTAGTCTCCCTAAACTACTAATTCAGATAGCTCAAAAGAGATACTAGTTCCATAGTATCTGCTAATCTTTTTTTTTGGTTGATGCTCTAGCAGCCTGATTGATAAAGCAACTTGTCAGTACTCTTGTCTTGTCAGTTAACTAGTTTTAGATGAAGCCTATTCTAGTAACTACTATTAAGATTTGTGCTATCTCTTTATTCAGATCTTGCTAAGTGGATGTTTATTTTTTTGAGTTTTTGGTTTTATACAATTACAAGAACTTATCTTAGGTTTGTATTGTCTAATACTAGCTTGCATATCTTTGTGTAACTTATATATTATACAAATACCTTATAATCTTCTAATCTTGTTAGTATTATTAAGATTATAGAGATTCTATTTTAATCGATTATTGAAAGACAATAGCTATTATATAGATAGAATATTTGAAATTTATCATCAGTAAGTTTTGAACCCCTATCTAGCCAATATATTGCTTGAAGATGTGACAACTTAATCACTCTACTAAGTCACTATACTTTTATGATTCTATTTTTTTTTTTTTTAAATATTAAGATAACCACTTAGAGGTTTGGCACGATTTATTAACTTCTCAGTTCAATTATTGAGATACTTAGTAGGCACCCCTTGACTTTGTTATATCAACGAGAGTACAATTGGTCACATATACAATTTTAGTCATTGTCTAATTAAAAGCTCTGCTATATCTATTTCTATCTATAGTTACCCACCAATTGCTATATCTAAGATCTGCTTGTGGATCCCCTATTTAAACCCTCTGATCGACTTAGTATTGTCGGATACTTTCACCAAAAGAGTATCTGTCGCTAAGGCCTCTTAGGACTACTTTATCCTTATAGTAAATCTACCAGAGTGGTTTATGCCCTGCATATGTATCACCTGGATTTTTTGGTACTTACACCCCAATTCAAGGACTGGAACTTGCGATCTTCTGCATCGCTACCATACCTACTCCTTGCCTTTACAAAGTTCATTCTGATCCTGATACCCATTTTCAACCGGCCTTTATACCGATCTCTTTCTAACTACCAAACCAGTTAGCTTAGAAGGGTTATTGTATTTAGGCTCTAAGTGCTTTCTGGTTTTATTTTCTTTGGTTCTGAATTCCGTAGCATCAGATCTTTTTCTCTAGTGCGATTCTGGCGGCCAGGTTGGTGAATCCTTCTTGCCCCAGGGTTGTTCGTCCAGTTTTTCAGTCTCCGGTTCTAATTTTTCATAGTATCATCAAAGATCTTTACTACTTCTAGCTCGGGTCTTGCCAAACAGGTTTCAAATATTCTGGTTCTTTAGATTTGGATCATTCTAAAGCTTCTATAATGAAATGGTGATACCAAGATTATAGGTGATATACTCAACCAATCGTCGAATAAATGTTACCGAAACACAGATCTATTTTTCGAAAAATGTCTTCAGTGGGAATCGAACTCTAGATCTGCCACTTGGAGGTGACAACTTAACCACTACTCTATATCATCACACCCTATTATAATTCTATTTTTAATATATATTAAAAATATAACTATATAATATAATTACTTTTTTTTTTTTTTTTGTAATTTAGCAATCTGTTTCTGTTTATTTGAGATTAAAACTATTCAAAAATTATATGAATTTTTATTTATAGTTATACTAATCTAACCAAACAAGAGACTCACCAAGCCTAAGCTTGATATGATCTGTCTTAGTAGCTATTAGGCTTCTTTGGGGTTCTTAACTTGCTAGAAACTTTTTTCTTCTCAGTTGTTGGCTAGCAGTTATATGACTTGTCAGTATTGCTTTACTTTAATAAATTCGAATTTATTTTGTATCTTGTTAGAGATGACCAAGTTGGCTTTGATCTGTATTAAACCAGATTCTTGATATTTCTGAATATTACTCCTTTATGCTTTTCTTTTCTTTTCTTTTTTGAGTTTGGGATATTTTCTTTGTTTGCATAAGTTTTTCTAGCTTTTCATCTTTTTTTAATCCTTTTGTCTTTTTTTGAGATTTCTTTTTTCTTTTCTATTCATTTTGTAGTTCATACCTAAGGTTCCATATGTGTTAGTAAAATCTTTCTCAGAACTTATTTAGTATCTTGCCTATTATTTTTCTTGCTATAATCTTTCTTGTACTAGGCTCTTGATGCTTGTTTTTCTTTTGTCTTGTATCAGGCCTCTTATTATATAGTTTCTTGTCTCTATTCTTTCTGAACCTTCTGTGTCAAAAATACTTTTCTTGACTTTATTTTCTTCTGGATCTAGGTCCGTATTATCTTCTTTCTTGAGTATTTTGACTACATCTTTAGTGATCTCTTTTTCTATTATATTCTAGACTTTTTGAAATTCTTTATAACTTGCTAGGTGATTTATCGTTTTGGGTTCTGTGTAGCAAATTATGTATTTATCTGCCTTATATAAATCTTGTCTTTTTGTTTTTAATTTTGATATTGTTAGCAGTAACTCATTAAGGCATTTAACTCTAAAAATCTATCTACTATTATTTTTACTATCTAAGCAATTATTACCCTTTATTCCTTCTATATATCTCTATATTTTTCTCTAATCTATTTCTTTTTCTTCTTTTTTTTCCACTCAGGTTTCTATTCTATTTAAACTTGTCTATTTTGTATCTAGTATTGATGTTGTAACTTGATTTACAAAATTTTGTATTGGACTATTGATCGTTAATTTGTTTTAGCTTGGTACTACTTGCATGTATTCATTTTAGAGAACTTGAACTTCTATAAACTTGTTTGACATAGTATCTTCTCTTGCAAGTCTATTTGTTTCTTTATTTCTTTTAACTTCATTGTAGCCTTTTACTTTGTACATCTTTAGTACAAAAAATTTTAATGATCTCAGGATCCTGTAATTAGATTTTAGTAATTTTAAACTTATTAGAATTATCTCATCAAGACAAATATTTTGATAGTTAAATTATTTAAAACAGACTAGTAGATCAAAAGTTATTTAATTTTAAAAATATTAAAAAATTTTTTAATAATTAATTAAATTGACCAATCAGAATTAAACTAGTAGTGATTATATTATACATAGATAGGAGTAGCTACTAAATAAAAATTTTATATGATAAATAATATATCTCTTACTTCTCTACAAGAAAGTGTTATCAGATTAGCAATACTCTATTGTAAAGTAGTAATTCTAACAAGATTAGTAAAAACTATCTAATAATATCTGGAGTTTACATCTTTAGAAAGTTAAAAATCCTGAAAGGATAAAATTTTTTACTTAAATAGGTTGCTTTTGGGTTATACTCTAATATAAATTTAGAATTTATCTTATTTTTACTAAGATAATAAGACAGATCAAAAGAATTTTTATTTGTACAAAAATATAGTAAATAAGAATTTGTAAATAGGTTTAGCCAACTAAAAACATATTTATAATTTTACTTCTGATTAATAAAATAAAAATAAAATCATTAAAGTTAAAAAAAAAAAAACTTGCTACTATTAGATTAAAAAAACCAGATAAACAAGTTTGTTTAAAATAATAAAAAAAATTAACTTAATACAAAAACTGCCAAATTATTTTTTTTAAAAATTATTTATTTTAATATATTTTTATATAAAATATTATATAATTAACATGTGTTTATAAGAAAATACTACATAATTAATACATATCTGTAAACGTTTCATCCCCAGTATCACCACCAAAATTTTACAAACACATGATTATACCAAAAAATCATTAAATTCGTTTAAAATAAAGTTAAGAGTTTATATTAAAATTATAATTTTAGTGTTTTAATAGTAAAATTGTTCAAGAAAATTTTTATTTTTGAGTTATATTTGGTTTGAATTTTCCTGATAGTGTTACGTTACCTATACCTGCTCAAGGAAAACTTTTTATTAGAGCACTAAAGATGGTTTCTTATGCGGATTATTGAGTTATGGGCGAGTTTACATCTGATCTTCACCGTGATTGGCTTTTGGTCACATTCTGAAAAATTTTTGGTGATGTTCTTGGTAGGGTTGGTGCCCAGGACATGTCTTAAGGGCATGCCCCTCTGGGCATGCACTTTTTCAAAAAATTTACATACAGTATAAAAAAATTAACATACAAAAAATTTTTGAAGGCATGCCCAAAAATTTTTCCATGCCCCCAACCCTAGTTCTTGGGGTAGTTATCAATAACAACGCACGCACGTGACCAGGATGACAATAGGCCCATTTCTGCATTCTGATTGGTCGATTTAACGCCTAAAAAATCACATGAATCTATGAATCTTTAAAAATTTTTGACGGTCACTGCATGGGATCAATGGAAGTTCGATTTGCATCAAACGATCTTTAATAATCTGATCATTTTTATATTGAAATGGCGTCTGAAAATAAAAAGACTACTGTAGCTGATGAGTTGGATGATATAGACGATCTACTTGATGGTTAGACTAAAGAATTTTTATAGATTTTATAGGAACAACCAATGTAACCTTCTATTTAATTTCAAATGTTTCAGAGGTTTTGGACGACTTTTCTTCACAGCAGTCTTCTGAGCATCATGACTCAAACAAGCAAACTACAACTTCCACAACTACTACTTCAAATGAAAATCTTATAAATGATGAAGAATATGCGGCGCAATTAGCCGCAGACATGGAAGATTTTGTTAAACAGTTTGAAGAAAACGAAGAGATAAAAAAAGCATTTCAAGAGTTAATGAATTCAGTTGGTGATGAATCCATCAGCGGGGTTGGAAATAGCGATAGTAATAATTCAGGGGGGCCTAATGAATTCAAAGAAAGATCATTTCAAGATAAAATCAATCAAACAATGAATAAACTTCAAAATAGTTCGGATCAAGTCGATGTATGTAAAAGTTCAAAATTGTAATATGTTTCATTATTGGATTTGTCCATTTTCGAGAAACCAGATATGAAGAATTGTAAAAGATAAATTGGTAACCATATAGATCTGTATTGTATTTGTTACTATACAAGTTTGTAAAGTCTCCAAAATTTTCTCTACTGCTTTACATATCTGGGTTCTCAAAATAGAGGGATCATGATTAACAAGTGTTTACATTTGTAAAGGCCGAAATTTCAGAAGGTGCAGCCGATGCATTAGTCGAACAAATGATTAAACAATTAGAAGGTGTAGCAGGGTTAGCAGGTCTTGGTGAGAATGGAAATATGGAGGATATGATGGGCGGAGGAATGGATAAAGTATTAGAGTGGATGATGGAAACTCTAGCGACAAAAGATTACTTATATGAGCCAATGAAAGAATTTGTTCAAAAGGTGGATAATCATTATTTCGGTATTATTCATAATCTATAGTTTAATACGTCTATATTTTTTTTCCACACAACTAACAACAAAAGATATCATCGCTGCATCCTTACACAATCGTCATGGTTGCACTATTTATTTTAAGTACCCGAAATGGCTCGAAGAAAACAAAAGTAAAGTTTCAGAAGAGGACTATGAACGTTATGAAAAACAATCAAAGTATATTCAAAAAATTATTGAGAAATATGAAGCGCCTGATTTTGATGAAAACAATGAACAACAGAATAAGGCCATAGTGAGCTTAATGCAAGAAGTAAGTGTCACATATAATTTCAAGTTAATTTGATTATATTATTTTAATTTTTATTAATTTGTTTATTTATTTTCCTTAGCTTCAAGAACTTGGACAACCACCAGCAGAAATTCTTCATGAGTTAGCTCCGGGAATAGAACTTGATGAACAAGGAATGCCAAAACTATCTGCTGCAGAATTGTCTTCTGGTTGTAGAAATATGTAATTCACCATTGAGTCTAAAACACAGTAATTATATTTATGTTCTTCTATACCACATTGTCTAATATAAAAAATTTTTATTAATGTTCGGTTTGATTAATTTATTTCTCACATTTTCTCACATACAAAGATGATATATTTTTATAACAATCAAACCTCTCTTAGTACACGCCCTTAGGACCGAAAATAAATTTGCATTTAGAGAAGCATAATTATAGAAATTCAACTAGCTAATCAAAAGAAAGAAAAATATACATGTGATTAAACCTCTCTAAGTACCCTTAGAACCAAAATTAAGGTATACATTTAGAGAGGTGTAAATTCTGTGTTCTATTAGTCAAATCTCAGTGTATGCATTTACGGAGGGTACACATATATGTCTGGGTGTCGGAAACCTACGCTAAGTCCCGGTCCTGGGACTAAGCTAAGTGCATTTAGGGAGGTTTGATTGTATTATATTATTAAAACTTGCCTTTACCTAAAAAGCCAATAATGACACATACTTACATAAAACTTTATAAAATCATAGCTCATAATAAAATGATAAAAATCAATAAGTTATTCTTCACGAATTTTTACATAGCAAAAATTTTATTGATTTTAATGTCTAAAGAAATATTGTTTTACGACAGTCCATGTCCCGGCAGCTGCTGCGCAGATTACAGATGTAGTCGCTGCAGCTTTTATACCGGCTTTGATTTTCATAAAGAAAAAAAAAAACCAATTTAAATTAGTTAGCAGAAACTTTGATTATTGATATAGATGTTCCAACTTTTTCTAATTACCTGTAGACTTGAAAATCGCGCCTATTAAGGCACCGGATGCTACGTTATTTATAGCATCATGTCTGCCCCTCATGTTGCTAATTATTCCATTGATACTGTTATAACCCATTGCTATTATAAATAGAATGTTTTATAAGTATTTATCTCAAAGATGACAATTTTTAACAGTTTTAACAGTTTTGGACAAGGTTTCGCCATATTACAAGCAATCCAAAACTGTCCAATTGCTAACACTGATTTATCTTATACCTAAGATTCCACATGAATTTCCAATGTAAGGACCACGTCTAGTGACAGAATTAAGCACCGTGTTTAATCGTAATTTGAAATTAGGTGTATGTCCACGTAATCCTTCAATCAGACCCCATGTACCACCAAAAGTTAGACCTACATGTGTCAAACGCTGTGAATTTTACAAAACACCTCTTCAAGATCTTGTTAAACAGATTTTCGCGGATTATTGATAGTACCGGTCAAATATGTTGTTCCAGTTCCATAACATAGATCGTCCATTACTCCTCGGCTAGGAAGTGCACCTGGTGTAACTCCCTGCTCATCGAATTTTAAATAATCGATATTGCCAAGACCCGCTATCTCTCTGATTTGTGTAGAGTTTAAGTTTACCCGGCCCAAAAAATCGGACACTGCAACCGGATCGTGCCCAAATTGATCCGTTGGAGACTGGTAATGTCGATCATCATATGTATCAATAGGCGCGTCTTTTGCAAAG